AGGCAGTTGTCACCGATTTATTCCCTACAACCTCTCAATGAAAGATGTGCCACTAGCCTCATTTTACAGATTTATTGCCTGTGACTCAGAAGGTGACCTCACCCATTAAGAGGCAGAACCATTGTCCCAACCAGGGGATCTGACTCACTTCAGTGGCACAACTATGGCCTCTGATGGTAGGCTAGCCCTGGGTCTCAGCCCCTGGGGGTTTCAGGATGGGACAACAGGAAAGGCAGTGACCTTCTGGAGACCCATGTGGCACTCAGTGAACAAGTCACACTTAACTGGGCTGCTTCGGGCCACTCTTACACACTGGGTGACTTCCTAAGCATCCTAAGACTTGGCTCTTGAATCTTCCCAACTTCCCCTGAAATGCCCCCAAGGGTCTTCACGGTGTGTCTCTGTGTCCTTTCCTGCAGTCCCCTGCTAGGCTCCTCAGACTCTACCTTCCTTCCAGGACATCCTGGCCTTCTTCTTCCTCCAGCCTGGAATGCCCTGCTTGCCACTCTGCATTGGCTGGGTGTATATTTCTAAGTCTGCTTGTTTGTTTTTGAGATAGAGTCTCACTATGTAGCCCTGGCCAGCTTGTAACTGACATGGAACTCACTATGTAAACCAAGCAGACTTGAACGCAGAGATCTCCCTGCCTCGGCCTCCCAAGTGGTAGGAGTAAAGGCGTGCACCACCACTCCAGGATTTGTTTGTTTGTTTGTTTGTTTGTTTGACTCTTTGAGACATGGTGTTGCTGTGTAGTGCAGCTGACCTCAATTTCAGCCTGCTTGACTTAGCCTCCTGAGTGCTTGGACTACTACGTTGTTGTTGTTACCATTATTATTATTATTATTTGACTTTTTTGAGACAGCATTTCTCTGTGTAGCCCTCAGCATCCTGGAACTCGCCCATTAGACCAGGCTGGCCTCAAACCCAGAATTCCACCTGCCTCTGCCTCCCAAGTGCTGGGATTGAAGGTGTATGCCGCTATGCTACACTACACCTGACAGAATCCTCTTCATCCTTACTATCCAGCTCCAGCCAGCCTCCAGGACTCGTCCGCATTGTCCTCCTAGGCTCTCCAGCTCTTCAAGCTTCTTTGCCTTGGCTTAAAGTATCAGGTGCACTCTGACTGCCCCTCCTCCAGAATCCTGTCTCCCCTGACCCAGAAGTACCACAGAGACTGTGTGCGGCAGTGCTAACACCTGAACATCCTGCCATTGAAAGACTATAGCTAGCATCTGTCCCACCCCCATAGGACAGGCACCTGCCCAGGCGCCACTCAGCTTGAGATAGATGACAGACAAGACTAAATGGCCCCCGGGAAGGCTAAGCGTTGCCAGGAAGGCGCCGGACACTCCCTCTGGACAGGAAAATATTTTTGTTCCTCCTAATAACAGTCATTAAGGGGTCTGTGCCACACACACATTGCAGCCACGGGCTGAGCTTCAGTCTGCCCAGTGGCTTCCAGCACCCAAGGCCAGCACCTCAAGGCCCAGCCCAAGGCCAGTATCCACCCGTCTACCCTCCTGTTGCCCTTTACCCACTCAGGACAAAGGGAGGAGCAGCTGTCTTACTGCCTTGGGGACATAGGTTTGTTGTACCATATTATTATCAGAGTGTCAGGGGTGCTTGGGACCCTTTTCCTTTCGCCTCACCCTCTCACCCTGCCCTTTGCACTAAGCTGCACACAACAACAACAACAACAATGAAAACAAGCCACATAGTACAAAATTGTTGTCAAGGGCTACCCCACTTACCCAGACACTCAGTAACCAAACAAATCTTCACAGAGACATGCACAAGTAGGTACACATACCAGCATGCATTTCAAGACAAACACGCAAGCCCACAGTGTGCACACATACAGTCATAAACAGGTCCATCTCTGCATGCATATGAATATATTCTCATTTAAATGATAGGAAATGGCCAGCATTCAGTAATTTTTTTTAAATCTTACAAAAAAGGAATCTAGCTAGGCATGGTGATGTATGCCTGTGATCCCAGAACTTGGGGAGCAGAGGCAGGAGGTTCAGGAATGGAAGTCTCATCTGAGGATACATAGTTTTGAGGCCAGCCTGGGCTACTTGAGACCTGTCTCAAAATCAAAGGTATAAACAACCAGATTATCCAGCAGTGAATGAGTGTGTGTTCACTCATGATACACATTCAACCTGCATACTACATCATGGCTGAAACGAAAGCACTGTGCTAAGTGAAAAGAAGCTGTTTGAAGGAAGACACATGCACCTTGATTCTCCTAAAAGAGTTCCCTGGGGCAGTTCATGGAGACCAAAAGTAGAGTGGCGGCTGCAAGGGCTCAGTGGAAGGGGAGAAAGGGAAGTGTTGCTTGTGGATAGACTCTTAGGCTTGCAAAATGGTGAGCTCTGAGGTGGATGTAGCAATGGGTGTATTTAAAGCCACTGAGGTGCAATGATGGAGAGGGTAAATTCTATGTGTATTTTTAACACAAAAGTAGAAAACAGGGAGTCAGTGAGATGGCTCAGCAGGTGAAGGTGCCTTGCTTCCAGACCTGATGACCTGAGTCCAGTCATCCCAGGATCCACGTGGTAGAAGGCGAGAACCAGCTCCTGAAAGTTGTCCTCTGGACTTCACCTGTGTTCTGTGGTGTGCACTCACCCACACAATAAACAAACCAACACAAATAATTTTAAAAGTGGTAAACAAGATACAGCACTAAAACTATGTGCCAGAGATAAACAGTGAACTCAGCAGCTCACCAACCTGCCTGCCTCTGGGAGGCCTGAACAAGTCTCCCCTCAAACCAATCTAGAGATAAGGTCCTAATGAGGGCTCTCACACTCTTCCTGCCCCCGCAGCTTATCACCCTCCCATGCTCTGACTTTGTTTACTCAGCTTCTTAACACTCTGGTAGCCTATCAAACCCCCAGGGAAGGGCCCCCTTAGAGGACCCCACGCTTTGGTTTCTCTCTGGTTTCTGTGCTGGCACCTGGGATGACATGGAAGCATTTCAGGTCCTAGACAATGGCTCCCTACACCCTGGACCCCGTACCCCTCTGCCCCATAACCTACCTAGACTTTCCATCCCTCCCTCTCCACCCTGAGTTCTCTTTCAGAGGAGCCTGTGCTCTAGATCTGACCATAGAACAGATGAACCCAATTCAGTCATATCGGACTGGGTATATACGATAAGGCTTTAGGGACCCTGATTTCCTGACACCATCATCAGATCTCACCCCTCTACAGGAGGGTGATAAATATCCGCCCCCCCCCACATTCTGCCACCACGTGCAGTTGCCAACTGATGACCCTTCTTCAGAGCAAAACCGCTTCTCCGTCCTCTGAGGACAGCCCCACCAGTTCCAGAACCATGAACTGTGACTCTCGTCGAGGCAGAACCTGCTCTGTTTCCGTTCTGATCTTGCTGTGTGTCTGCCCATTCTCTGAAACTCAGCCCCAATGGATGGAGCCTGGTTCCCACCAGGCTGCGTGCATCCCTGGAGCTCAGTGTGTGGATATGCAGCCGTCTACCTTAGCCCACCATTGTTTTTCCCCCCACTCAGACAGGGTTTCTCTGTGGCTTTGGAAGTAGCTCTTGTAGACCAGGCTTGTCTCAACTCACAGAGATCCACCTGCCTCTGCCTCCTGAGTGCTGGGATTAAAGGCGTGCACTACCACTGCCTGGCAGCTCACCACTCTTTTTTTTTGGGGGGGGGGGTTTCGAGACAGGGTTTCTCTGTGTAGCTTTGGAGCCTATCCTGGCACTCGCTCTGGAGACCAGGCTGGCCTCGAACTCACAGAGATCCACCTGCCTCTGCCTCTGCCTCCCGAGTGCTGGGATTAAAGGCGTGTGCCACCAACGCCCGGCTAGCCCACCACTCTTGATGCATAGGCACTGCCATTAAAACACTGGCTAAAAAGGCAAGTTCCAAGCATGGTTGCTGATGAGGTTTAGTGGGTATAGTGTTTGTCTAATGAAGCCCTGGGTTAGAACCTCAGCACTGCATAAACTGGGCATGATGATGCATGCTGTAATCCCAGCACTGGGGAGGTGGAGGCCAGTGGACCGTAAGTCCATGGTCATCCTTGGCTACACAGTGAGTTCAAGACTAGCCTCGGCTACATGAGACTGTCTTTTTATTTTATATGTGTTTTGCCAGCATATCTGCATGCTTGTTTCCCACAGAGGTCATCAGAAGATGCTAGACCTCCTGAAACAGGGAGTTACAGATGGTCGTGAGCTACTACGTGGGTGCTGGGAAATGAGCGCTAGCCTTCTGCAAGAGTAGCAAGTGTTTTTAACCTCTGAGCCAACATATCAGGCCCAAGACTCTGTCTTAACAAAAAAGACACACTCCAACTTAAATGAAAACATCTTTACAAAACCCAGTACTATGTACAATGACTATGTGACAATTAAAAAATAGTATTAATAAAATAGAAAAAAAAGGCAAGCTCTGGACTCTCTGCTAGAGTTTCAGAACTTCTGGAATATTCAGCATGGGTGGAGCATGGAAGGTGGGTATTTTAACTCTTCTTGGGAGTCAGAGTGAGGACTCCTAATGCAGGTCCTTGGAGGATGGGCTCAGAATTGGGTTGAGGTTGTTGTGAGCACCATGGTTATGGCAGCACCGTGGTTATGGCAGAGGCCCAGCGGGAGACAGTGTTGATGTTCCTAGAGTTCTTATACCTCGTTCAACCCATATTGGGGGTCTAATATGTTTGTGGACCAAGACATACACAGTACCTATGGTGGTATGTTTGGAGTAATGGCCAGTCTCTATGTTAGTGTTGGGCATTTACATGTATTTGGTCAAATGCATGTATGAACCTATAGTCTACATCTGCATGCTGGTCAGTAGTCTGTGTGTTAGAGGATCTGCTTGTGTGTCTTGAATCATTCATCTACCAGGTATGTGTGTGTGTTTGTGTGAATTGTGTGTCCCTGAACACCCCCCCACCCCCCACCGTGTGTAGGCTGGGAGGGAGGGAGGGAGGGAGGGAGCGCTAATTTCTGCTGGTTTCGAGGGTCAGGGGTTGCAGGCTTGTGGCTGTAACCCCTGTAAGGAGTGTCTGGAGAAGAGCCAGTAGCATGCTTTAAGGGCCTGGCGCTGCCACTTCCCTGAGCAGGCGAGTCCCAACAGCAGACAGACAGGTGGGGCTGACCTGACAGGTTCCCAAGGCCAGGGGCAATGGGGCGGAGCCTGGTTCAGACTTAGGGTGGCAACACTTTGGGGGCCCTGCCATACACACCGGGCTGGCAAGCTGGAGGTAGTATCTTCTTCCTACAGTCGCCAACCCAGGTGCAAGCCATGGAGCTTCAGGTGGGTAGGGCACTAGGTGGATGCACACATCCAGCAGCTTAGCGTCTGGAGGGACCCAGGGCATGGCAGGACCCCTGCGGAGCCGAGTGGAGGAGCTAAAGCGGCCTTGGTGGAGGGAGAGCTCCCCCCTGGTGCTCCAGCACAGCGAGGCTGCAAGGCTTGCTACGGACGCCCTCCTGGAGAGGGGCGAGGCTGCCTACCTTCAGGTCATCTCTGAAGAGCGGGAATTGCCCTTCCTGAGTGCCCTGGATGTGGACTACATGGTCGGCCATGTGCGTGGGGTTCCCGAGCTCAACGAGGCCCAGGGACCAGAGACCGTAGGGCATGACCGCCTCAGCATGCTCTCTGAAGTTACCTCAGGCACCTACTTCCCCATGGCTTCTGACTTAGATCCCCCAGACCTGGACCTGGGCTGGCCTGAAGTGCCACAGGCCACAGGTTTCAGCCCCACCCAGGCGGTGGTTCATTTCCAGAGGGACAAGGGCAAGAGCATCAAGGACCTGCTGCGATTCCTCTTCAGCCAGGCCCACACGGTAAGGGCCTCACCTCTTCATTCACTTCACAGACGTGGCTCACGGGAAGGGGACCAGTTTGTGCCACACAGAAGCTTAACAGGGACACCGGGACTAGAGTCTTTGACCTCTGCTAGATCCCCAGCTGTCAGAGGATGGGTGGGCACTTTATTTTCTGTTGGCACTCAGGAACATTAATTAAGCAAAGAACAGGGCATAGGGCTCTGGAACTTCACCCCTGGAAGTGCATGGGAAATTATTGGGAGGGTTCCTTATCTACCTTGGGAGGGAGTCTATAACCTTGATCAGATTCTCAAAAAAAATTTTTTTGTTTAAAATTTATTTGTTTATTTATTATTTATTTATTTTAGAGACAGAGTTTTTCTGTGGAACAGCTCTGGCTGTCCTGGAACTAGATCTGTAGACCAGGCTGCCCTTGAACTCACAGAGATCTGCCTGCCTCTGCCTCTTGAGTGCTGGGATTAAAGGTGTGCACCACCACTGCCTGGTTTAAGACTTGTATTTATTTCATGTTCATGAGAGTTTTGCATGCCTGCATGTGTGCACCATGAACATGTCTGGAGTCATTGACGGCCAGAGGAGGGCTTTGAATCCCCTGCAATTAGAACTCCATACTGTTGTGAGCTACCAAATGTGCAGGGAATAGAACCTGGGTCCTCTGGAAGAGCACAGTGCTTGTTCTTAACTTCTGACCTGTTTCCCAGACCCTCAAAAAGTTTTATGCCCCCCACCCCCACCCCAGACTAAGAACTCAACCATGGTGAACATCTGAGCTACAACCTTGACTTAGAAAGAAGTTGAGGTCAGAGAGGGGCTAGAAGGAAGTTACCTAGAGAGGTTGTCTGGGTCTGGGAGGGAGAGGTCTCTGCCTCTAACCCAGCATGGCTCAGTTTATCCCCCCCCCCGTCCCCCGCTGCCTATCAATCCCCTGTGCTGCACCAACAGCTGGGGTTGAAGCAAGGCTGTGGGCACTGCACATGGGTTTTGGCATAGGCAAAGCTCTTAGTTTGGTGCTAGGAGGACTGAAGAGTGGAAGCCACTGAGCTTGGAGACATTAGGAAGGGGCAGTCACACCTGGGAAGCCCCTAGTCTCAAAGCAGCATAGCTTCACTGGTGGAGCCTTGGCTCCTTCTCAGATGAGGGAATAGATATGAAACCCCTGGCAGGGTTTGAGATAGGGGTAGACTCCTGCTGCAGAGAGGATCCCACCAGCACCTCCAAAGCCTTGCTAGCAAGCTTGCCTCTGCCCTAGGCACAGGAGGGCAGAGCTTGATTGGCATCCAGAATGGGATAATTAGCGAGGTTGTTGCTGTTGTCATCACTGTCCCCCTTTGATCTTTCGTGCCTGCTCCCCCAACACTGGCCAGACCTGTGTTGCATACTGGAGAATCCCCCGAACCCCGCCTGCTCACCTCCAATTAGACTTTTCTGCCCTTGGGCTAAGAGTCAGGCTACTGGGCTGAGCTGCCACTCATTCCCAGAGTGACCTCAGAAGTGTTTTCTTTTCCCATAGCCCAGTGTTCTCTATTTGCTAAGAAGGTAGCAGGAAAGGGGGGAGGCGTGGCTATTGAGCTTCTTTGGTGTGTCTAGTCCAGCGTTTTCACATTTATCCCTTGTAACTACGAGATACACTCCATTTAGCAGACAAGGAAGCTGAGGCTCGCTAGATGAGCCCAAGACTCTGCTTCTAAGAAGTAGAGGAATATGGATTTGAACCCACTTCCTTTTGGCTCCAAGTTGCAATAGTAGACTCTGTCCCTCCTGCTCTCAGTAGACACACACACACAGCGGGAAGAAGGGGCCGCTGCGGGCTTAAGGAATGCCCTGTGTGTTGGAGGCACACGCCTCAGCCCCTCAAGTGAGCGGGAAGCTTGGATCCACTTAGCACAGACGGAAGTAAAGGAGGCTGTAAATATAGGTTATTACACCAGATCTCTGCAGTTTCCAAAGCAACTGAGGTTTGGGGGAAAAACAAAACAAAAACACACAGAAATTCCCAGCACTGGATTGAAGCTTTCTCCCTTGTAGAAGAGACTGGGGAAGTCCCTAGACCAGAGCAGAGCTGGTACCAATAATGGGAATCAGCCTGGAAGCTGGGGTCTGCTTCTGACTCCTGACTTCTCCAGCTTTCCAAAGAGCAGAGCTTTAGACTAACATAGTTGATCTAGAGATGTCTTTGAGAATCTGTTAGGCTGTCCATAGAAAAATTCCTCAAAGGCTTTTAAACAATCAGTGGTTCAAGACTGTCAGTTCTCCCAGTGCCCAAGCTAAGAACTCCAGGTTAAGGCAGGCATGGTGACACACTCCTCTAATCCCAGTGATCATGGGGCTCAGATCAGAGTGAGCTCAAGGCCAGCTTGGATTACTGGGTTACAGAATGAGACCCTGTCCAAAAATAAAATATAGAATTTGATTCTGGTTTTGCATCCTGGCTTTCAACCCCATACTTTGACTGGGGCTGAACTTCCCCTGTCTCCTTCAGGTGGTGGCTGTGGTGATGGACGTATTCACTGACATGGAGCTTCTGTGTGACCTCATGGAGGCCTCCAGCCGCCGTGGTGTCCCTGTCTACCTCCTCCTGGCTCAGGAGCACCTGAAGTACTTCCTGGAGATGTGTTATAAGATGGACCTCAATGGGGGGCATCTGGTGGTCAGTATGGGCAGACAGCTTCCACCATGGGAAGAAGGGGAATCGGGAGTGTAAGAGGGCCAGCTGGCGGTCAGTGAGCATGGAGGTTGGTCAGTGGGAGTGGAACACATAGTTCCTTTTAACTGTGTGGGACCAGATACCCCTTAGGTCAGAGACAGCCTGAGTGCCATTTCTTTTTTGTTTTTTTTTTTCAGTGTATTTTATTTTAAATTATGAGTGTGTGTGTGAGTGCACCAACATAGGGTGTCAGACTGCCCTTGTGAGGGAGTCATAGGTAGCCGTGAGCCACCTCACAGAAAAAGCTGGGACTAGAACTCAAGTCCTCTCAGAGAGTGCTCTTAACTACTGAGTGGTCTCTCCAGCCTGAGCTCTGCCTCCTTAAGGTCATCCTCCTTCCATCAATCTTCTTCTGCTCTTGGCCCAGAATATGCGTGTGCGGAGCACATGCGGAGACACGTACTGCAGCAAGGCGGGTAGACGATTCACCGGGCAGGCCCTGGAGAAGTTTGTCATCATTGACTGTGAGCAGGTGGTGGCAGGCAGTTACAGGTGAGATGATTAAAAGGAGGGAGGCCTGGGGGGCTGCGCCATGACCTAGTAAGGGCATCTCATATCTGCCCGCTTTGAATTTCTTCCATCCATCCCTTCAAACATGTCCTAGGCACCTGCTGTGTGCTAGGGACCAGGCAGGGCAAGGGGCAGATGGGGCGCATTCTACTTACTGCCTTGGCATAGAAAGTAACTCCTGCACATGGGAAATAGGACGACTTTGGACACCCTCACCCTTGACCCTGACTCTGGCTCTCTGTCCCCAGCTTCACCTGGCTTTGCAGCCAGGCTCACACCAGCATGGTGCTGCAGCTGAGGGGCCACATTGTGGAAGACTTTGACCGGGAGTTCCGATGTCTGTATGCCGAGTCACAGCCTGTGGAAGGCTTCTGTGGCAATGAGGACCCACTGTCTTCCCGGGTACCTCGTCCTCCTCCTGTGACCCTGGCCTTTGGACCTGGAATTCCAAGTGCTACGGGCTCTTCACCCTCCAGTAACAGCCTCGGCAGTATCAAGCATTCACCTTTTCTGGGCCGTTCCTCCTATCTCGCTCTGCCAGGGGGTGGTGGCTGCAGTGACATGGTGATGGGGTCCTTGTCCCCAGGTCCTGCCCACCATGAAGCTGGTAGCCCACCATCCCTGTACCGTCAGCTTTCAGATCCTAACCATAGCTCAACTCCTGGACCCTACAGGGCCAACCTGAGCAAGCTGGGGGCATCTCCATGGTCCCAGTCCTCTCCTGCCCTTAACCACTGTAGTGCCAGTCCCTTGACCCTGGCAGTGGGGTCACCTCTGCTCCCATGTTCCCGCCCCCTTCTCCACTTCACTAGGGGAGTCCCAGCATTGTCCCGGCTTCCAGAGAATGGGCTCCCAGCAAGTCAAGAGCCCATCCTTCCACGAGGTCGCTGGGTACCTGGCACAGCTCTGGAGACAGTGGATGAGAAGAAGGTATCTCTGAGCCAGAGTCATGATCACCTGGATCGAATTGTCCCCTTCCCTAAAGCAGGAGAAGCAGGAGGTTCCAATTCCAGAGTTACCCCCAATTCAGGTTCCCTTCAGCATGGTGAGCAGGCCCTAGATGATAGGAGATTGTCCCTGAGCCACAGCTACAGCCAGCTGGATCTCCTGTCCCAGGGTCAGGGTGTCCTTGAGTCAGGCTCCCTAAGACCTGGTGATCTGGGTCTAGAGGACAGGAAGCTGCCCTTAAACCACAGCCATGGCCAATTGGATCTCCTGCCACAAAACCCCAAGGCCCAGCCCTCTAAAATACTGCCTGATGCCAATTCTTCAGCCAGGCCTGACAAGCCAAGTCTAGATGAACGACGGCAGACTCTAGGCCACAGTCAGCTGGACCTCATCACCAAATTTGGCCCATTCCGGAGTGAGGGGCCTGGACCCAATGGTCTCCCAGAACCAAACCCAGTTCGCATGGCCGGAGTAGGGTCTGCAGATGAGAAGCGGCTGACTCTGGGCCACAGCAAACTGGACCTCATCACCAAGTATCATCAACTACAGGGTGCCAGGCAGAGACCTGAGCCAGGCCTCCCGGGAGCTCCCATAAGTGGCCATCAAAATAGTAATAGCAATGACCTATTTGCACCTGAGAAACGGCTGACCTTGGGCCACAGCAAACTGGACCTCATCACTAAGTACAACAAGTCCAAATTCAAGCAGCTCCGAAGTCGTTTTGAGTCCTAACTCTGCTCCTAGCAGGGGCAGAGCCTTCCTCCATCCACAGATAGGTGACATATTCAGGTTCAAGACTGTAGTATGAGAGTATAAAGCTGGGCTGCATAAGGAAGGGAGGCATCTAGTGGCTCAGATCAGATACTCTCTGGGCTCAAGACTTATACATACACACACGCACAGGCATACATACAAACAGAACCCAGAGTTACTGAGTGTTTTCTGTATGTCACTGGGGCTGGGCACTGCACACCGGTTATTCTCATTCTCTGTATCCTCTAGATGGATCTCTTGTTGGCATGTAGCTATATTAAGTTTCCACCCCTGGTTTGTTTTGTTTTTGAAACCAGAACATTTATTTTATGGCTGATTGAAATCTCAAGAATAACTGGATGCTGCAACAGCTGCCCTCTTGGGTTTCCATGTTGTTGGGTTTGTTTTTCTTTTCTTTTCTTTTTTTTTTTTCCAGAACCCATGTCTGAATCTGAAATAGACAATTTTTAGGTGCCTCATCCACCTAGTCCCAGGAGTGTTTCATCTTTTTTCCTTGGCACTCTGGTTACTTTCTCTTGCATTTGGCAATGAAGCCACAGTCATCACAGGTCGACCTCTGAAGGTGGTAGGCCTAAGAGCCACAGTGATGGCACAGTGTGTGCATCTTATTATCATGCCTTCCAAAGGATGACGTTTCTTTCCTCATGTTCTGTCTGCCACAGAGGCCAAAGAGTCTGGAGGATATTCTTCCCATTCTATAAGTACGGGAGCTGAAGTCCAGAGTTTGCATGGTTAATTTGGAAGCAGATCTGAGTAAATGACAGGGTAGGGAACTCTGCCAGCTCAGTGGCCCCTGGCTTTAAGCATGTGTTTTGTTTGCAAAGACCCAAAACACAGTATCTGCAGTTCCTGCAGTCACTATGTACATACCATACAGACACTACAAGGATGCCCCAGTGCCCATACAGTAGACACAGAACAGTGACTAGGTACACCCATAGATGCATACAGTGAGTACACATAGCTCTATGTGATTAACTCAAACAGAACTTTAGTTGTAGGTACTTAGTCTTGTCTGCCTAAATGAATGGCCACAGAAAATACGTGCATTTAGTACACACTGCAGAACCCCCTCGAGATTCACAAGCTGTAAGTACACATATTAACTCCATCCCAACTCTGCTTATAAAGCCCTGCCCTGAACATGCCACGGAGCTGCAAGACTGCTTAGATGCATAAACCGAGGAAAACAAGGCAGAGCTGTATCAAATGGAAAGTGTACTAGGGACGGAGGGTCACGGAGATGGTGGCGTGACCAGGAAAGTCTATCAGAGAGAAGCGGACTTACAAGCAGGTCCTGGAGGATGGGGTTGTCGACAGAGGCAGACGGGGAAGAGAGTTAGAATTGTTGGTAGAGTTAGATGGAAACGAGCGAGTCTGGGGTGAAACGGGGAAGATGAGCAGAACATGTGGATGGACACGTAGACGCACATACACAAGCCACTTGCTGAGTGTCTCTTGAAGCGCAGGCTGCAGCTGGTCAGGGGCCTTTCTCTTGAACTCACCGCTTGCCCGAGACAGGGCATGGTACAAATCAATAAAGGCAGATATGGTTAGAGCAAGTAGCAACCTGATGTGTTCTAAATTGTGGGATTACAAGATGGGGGGGGGGGGATAAGGGCAACATTCAGGCCCTTTTCAGACTAATAGGATTCCTTGGAGAAGAATGAAAGGCATAAAGAAGATCTGAGGTTCTTAGCTTCTTCCTTCTTTGCTGTGGCATTCTGAGGCACCCTCAGCCAAATTTATTCTGCTTATGAAAATGGGCCACACCACTATCCCCAGGACAGATGGTGGCTGCTTGTGTGTGTGTGTGTGTGTGTGTGTGTGTGTGTGTGTGGTATGTGTGTAAGAACACATCAAGGAAGCAAGTCAGAACTCACATCTTTGCCCACCCTAGACCCTTTCTCCAGTCTCCCCAAGCTTCACACATTTCCTCTCTCCAATATCTTCTTCAGCCTGTTTCTTATGGCTCTCGGCGTGCCTCCTCCAACCACTCTGTCCTGCTCCCGTTTCTCCATACTGGCCACTCTCCTGAGTGAGCCTAGCCCCAATCCTCAGCCCGGGCCTCTCGCCTCTGCTTCGGATCCGTATTTCCGTCCGCACGGTCAGGGTGGGATCCTCTCCTTTCCCAAACCTGCCCCTTCTCCGGCCTCACTCGGTAAACACATCCCTCATCAATCCATCCTCAGCCAGACGACACCGGTTCCCTCTTTCCCTCGAGGTTCTCGTCTGCTCAGCCTCAGATCTGGCTGATTACTCCTAAAAAGACCCAATAGGGAGAGAAGACACCACGAAAGCCAGACAACCATCGGGAGGCGGGGGTGGGCGGAGCCAAGCCAAACCACGAGCAACCATAGAGTCCTCCGAAGGGGTGGGGTTAGAGAGGCCGCATGCTTGGCTGGGCTCCCGCGTGCTCCCGGAAGCCCGCTGGGAGGAGGCGGAAACGGAAAGCTAGTTACGGGAGAAGTTGTTGCAGCGTGTGGGGATTGGAGTCGTTTGGTGAGTTAGTGGGACGCGGGGCGGCGAGGCTCGGTTCCGGGCCCCGGGGCGGGAGGGTTTGGGGCAGGAGAGCCTGGAGGGATGCGGTGGGCGCGACCCGAGGCCTGAGAGGTCCGAGAGGGCGGGGTCTGAGGGAGCGAGGTGGGTTGACCGGCTCCTGAGAGGGTCTGTCGTCCCAGACCCTGCGGTCGCGCAGCCCCCAGGCTTCCATGGCGGTCAGAGCGTCGTTCGAGAACAACTGCGAGGTCGGCTGCTTTGCCAAGCTCACCAACACCTACTGCCTGGTGGCTATCGGAGGGTCAGAGAACTTCTACAGGTGAGGCCGGGGCTCCTGGGGGCGGGAAGGGGAGGGGAGGGAAGGGATGCCGGGAGCGACAGGTCCGGCAGAGGGAGGGACCCCAGCAGTAACCAGCGACCCCATGTTTCTCCAGTGTGTTCGAGGGCGAGCTCTCTGAAACCATCCCCGTGGTGCATGCATCCATCGCCGGCTGCCGGATCATCGGGCGCATGTGTGTGGGTAAGGCGGGGGGTTGACGCCGAGGGACGAGTGAAGCCTCGGAGCGCTATGAATCTCAATCATTAACTCCTGGAGCTTACCCCAGTGACCCGGGGATCTCCAGGCTTGCGGTCTCGGTGGACGCTGGAATCTCTCAGGGGTGGGTGGGACTCAGTCTCACTGCAGATCAAGAACACTGTAGCCCAGACTTCCCGAGAATAGTCATAGCAAAGTAGTAGCATTAAGTGCCTTCACTCTTGGTCGCGTTTTTCCTCCACAGCGATGCTGGAAGGAGGGGTTGCCCTCCTTTGACTGTTTGAAGAAACTGACACTTGAGAACTATGTGACTCACCAAGTTCCACTCCTAGATAGTGAATCTCATCTCTTTCCTGCCTCTGATTATGGACAAGTTGCTTCATGTTTTTGAGCATTAATTTCTGCCTCATCGCAATAACTAAGGTTCCCAGGTCATACTTCAGCTACATTTACATCTTACATTCTCTAAATACATCTCTTGAATGGCACCCTTGCACTTTGACCTGTAAGCACTTTTGAACAGCCTCCAACTTTTAGTTTTGTTTGTTTTTTGATCCTTCCATGTTCGCCTCAGCCACACTGTCCCTGTAGCTAGAAATGGCCTGGAACTCCTGATACTTCTGCATCCACTTCCCAAGTTTTGGGATTAGCATGTGTGTGCCATCATGTTTCATTGCTGACACTTTTTTTTGGGGGGGGGGAATCTGCATGTTGGGGTTGTCCTGACCTCCTTTATGTATTTACCTTAAAACTTTTTTTAAGCGTTAAACATGAATGGTGACTCTACATAGTCATTTACTTCAGTACTCTGATCTTTAGAAATAAAAATCCTGACCTTTAACCATGCTCTTAGGATATGAATCAAATTCTGTCGTGATAAGGGAGATCTTAGCCTGGTCTTTGCTCTCTTTCAATGAAAGTAATTTGAAGTTTAAAACTGTGGCTCCTAAGCCTGGACAGAAGGTTTTATAATGATAACAGGTAGACAATTTTTAGTTTGGTGTTTTAGGAATAGTTACTCTGTAAATATGAACATATGTACAAATATTCTTTAGGATATATAATACCTATGAGGGTATGTGGGAATTTAGTGTGGTAGATGATGACAGTAATTATCTGGAGTAGACAGCCATTGTATGCTCCTGTCAGAGCATAGTTTCAGTTGTTCCTTATACTATTGCTATTACTTGATGATCTTTGAAAATTTTAGCTGTTCAGGTAGGTGTGTAATGTTAAAAAAAAAAAAAAGTAATGCCAAGTGCCTTCCTTGCTAGTCCTGACCTCCCCCCAACCCCCAGTTAATAATGATAAGATGGTGATGTTTGTTGGAATAGATTCCTGGCCATCTGAGGCCTGTCTAGGGACCCATGGTTCGTATATGGATCTGTAGGTTGGGGCTTCAGCTTTGAGCTCTCCTAGGAAAGCTAATTGGGCTAGAATGGGAGATATCCCAGGAAGCATTTCCTATGTTCATGGTTTATCTTTATCCCACCTTACAATTGTGTTCTTTCCAGGGAACAGGCATGGGCTACTAGTACCCAACAACACCACGGACCAGGAGCTGCAGCATATCCGAAACAGCCTTCCAGATTCGGTGCAGATACGGCGGGTGGAGGAGCGGCTCTCAGCCCTTGGCAATGTTACCACCTGCAATGACTATGTGGCCTTAGTCCACCCAGACTTGGACAGGGTGAGGTGGCAGTTTGGTCTGGAAGTTACAGGACTAGCCTAGCTAGTAGTTAGCCATTATTCCCCCATGGCAGGAATTAAGGGTTTTATTTGTGTATTTTCTTAGTTATCTCAGCACTCTTACTTTCCTAGGAATACTAAGGCTTTTGTGTGTCAGTATCAAGCTGGGTAGGGCATTAATCCTTCAGGGTTGGGGAGATTGGCCTATTCAGTCTTGGGCCATGGGCCATGATAGTTGGTTGACAGTTGAATAGGGTATGTATTAGTGAAAAGGGTGACATGGAGCCAAGAGTCATGTTTTTCAGGGCTTGCTTAGGTTTTAGGGGCTTCAGGCTGAGTCTAGACTCTTAGCCATACCCATGTCTTGCTCAGTGAGGCTTCCATGCGCAGATGTTTAGTAAAAAGGGACTCAGGGAACCAGGTCTGGCTTGCTGAGAGAACTCCTGGGTATTTGCCCTACATGTTCTGGATCCTGGGCACAGTACCTTTGTCCAACAGGAAACAGAAGAAATCCTGGCTGACGTGCTCAAGGTGGAGGTCTTCAGACAGACAGTTGCTGACCAGGTGTTAGTAGGAAGCTACTGTGTCTTCAGTAATCAAGGGGGTCTGGTGCACCCTAAGACTTCCATCGAGGACCAGGACGAGCTGTCCTCCCTTCTTCAGGTTCCCCTGGTGGTAAGCTTTCCTGTCTTCTGACCCCTGTCTACTAGATGCAATCCCTTATGTCAGTCCTTGGGAATCTGGGTCATTACCTTCCTTAATTTGGGACTGGGGCCCTGAGACATAGAACAGACTTCAGGAGAAGAGTCCTCACTTGAGGTGAGAGAATTTGCTTTTGGTTCTGTGACTTATGTTGAGCTCACACCTCTGCAGGCAGGCACTGTGAACCGAGGGAGCGAGGTGATTGCTGCTGGAATGGTAGTGAACGATTGGTGTGCTTTCTGTGGTCTGGACACAACCAGCACAGAGCTGTCAGTGGTGGAGAGCGTCTTCAAGCTAAACGAGGCCAAGCCTAGCACTATTGCCACCAGCATGCGGGATTCCCTCATTGACAGGTAACTTTGCCTTCTTTGTTTTTTGTTTTTCAAGATAGGGTTTTTCTGTGTAACCCTGGCTGTCCTGGAACTTGCTCTGTAGGTCAGGCTGGCCAGGAACTCAGAGGTCCACACTGCCCCTGCCTCCCAAGTGCTAGGATTAAAGGCATATGCCACTATGCCCGGCTCACTTTGTCTTTGAGAGGAGAGTAAGAAGATGTATCCTTAAAGAAAGCCATGTTGTGTTTGTTTTCCCCAGATGTGAGAGTGAAAGTGCATACCAACTTAGAGCCACAGATGTCCTCTGTCATCTGCTCACACTCAGTCTTCCTTGGAGACTGGGCTTTCAAGGCAGACCTTTCCTGTGACCCATCTCACTTGATCACTGGCTGTGTTTTGCAGTTTGTGTTGCCTGTGTCCACTGTCTTTAGCTAATGGTCTAAGCCATGAGATAGAAAAGATCAGTTGGCTGGGGAAGGTGAGAAGGCTCCTCTTAATCACTGAGACGGCCTCAGATTGCTAAGGGTGCTCTTAAAAGTAGGCTGCAGATGTATTTTGTATTGAAATCATGGTTTAAAGCAGCTAAATTGTGGGATTACAAGATGTTTTTGGGGGGGGGGGGTTTTTTTTTTTTTTTTTTTTTTTGGAGGGGGTTGGTTTTTTTGTTTGTTTGTTTGTTTGGGTTTTTTGTTGTTGTTGCTGTTTTTTGAGATAGGGCTTCTCTGTGTAAGAGTCCTGGCTGTCCTAGAACTCTCTCTGTAGACCAGGCTGGCCTTGAACTCACTGAGATTCACCTGCCTCTGCCTCCCAAGTATTGGTATTAAAGGCTCACACCATCACCACCTAGCTGTCATTATATATGGTTGTGAGCAACCATGTGGTTGCTGGCACTTGAACCCAGGTCCTCTGGAAGAGCAGCCAGTGCTCTTAACCTCTGAGCCAACTCTCCAGGCCAGACCAGAGGTTCTTAACTTGTGGGTCTCAATCGCTTTGGAGGTTGAATGATCCTTTCCTAGGATTGTGTGTCAGATATCTTGCATATCATGTAGTTACATTATGATTCATAACAGTAGCAAAATTACATTTCTGAAATAGTAACAAATAATTTTATGGTTGGGGGGTCACTACCACATAGAGATTATTAGAGGGTAATGGCATTAGGGAGGTTGGGAACCACTGGTCTAGACTTCTGTGGATTACACAGCCAGCTGGGCTGGGCATGTTTGCTCACTCTCATCACTTGAGAGACTGGACTGAGACTTGACGTTTCTCTGGAAGAGCAGCAGGAGCAAATGCTGGGTAGTTTGGCCTCCTTTCTGTCAGTCTGCCAGGGACCTTTCTTAATGCTTGCCAAAGCCAGGTACACCTCTATGAAGATAGAAACCCAAAAGTGACAAGTAAATAGATCCTTTACTTACCATGGAAGGACTTTCCCTTTATCCTGTTGCCTTTGCTTGCACTGATGCCCATGGATGAGGCTGCATGGGGGTAATCAGAGAGTGTAGTTCTATATCCGGAGGGGTTCACTGTGTGCATGGGAGATAGAGTTGCTATGTGTAACTTTTAGCCATTAAAGGAGAAACAAAGTTCCTTAACTGTCCCCATATGGGCAGCTTGTGAAACTGGTGGGGAAATTTCTGGGATTATAGAAGTTTCATGAGTGATATTTAGTCTGTTTCAGGTGATGAGGAGATGCTAAATATGGAGAAGAGAGTGAGGAAGAACCTCACACAGATTAGAGAGATGGGAAAATACTGATATGTGAAGGATAAATGTTTTCCTGAGGCTAAGGGCTTTAAATTCCAGTATCAGTAAGAGCCTGAGATTTTGAGCTTTAGTGAAAGTTGGGTTGCTTGTTTATGTGGATTCTTAGTGTGATCTCTCAGAGGTTCTGACTGTAGGTGGAATACAGTCCAGCACTGTTGAGTTCTTTTAAAGATAGTGTCCTTCAATGCAGGCTGGTGATGTGCTGTGGCCAGAGATGTGTGCCACCACACCTGGCTATGTGCATGTGTTTTTAAATAAGCTACTTTGAGAAATTCTGAGGAGGACATTTATTCACTCTGACTAACTTTGCTGTCAGAGCTGGTGAACAATTGAGAGTTTATGCACACTAGGCAAATGCTGTACTGTTGAGCTACACCCAGCCTGAGAAGTTGTTCAGCAGCGTTTTACGTGCCAGACGGTATTTATGGGATCAGAACACGCCCTGTCTTTTGTTTGGAACGTAGACTTTTGTAAGGAGACAGTGACAATCATTAAAGACAAAAGCTTCTTAGTAACAATTGAAAAGAAGTTTCTATAGCCTAATAATTGATACCTATCAGAAAAATATTGTCAATTATAGAAACTGTATTAAAGTTAAGCAGAACTGCTAGCCACTTGTCATTGTGTCCCTGGTAGTCCTTGTCTGTGCTGTTAGACAATAGAAAGAAAAGGGTATTGGAAAGGAAGGGAAACTTGACTAGTCCGTTTTCTTTGGTTTTTGGACATGTTTTTAGGTGCCCATAAGACTTCGCAATGAAGATGCCAAATTGGCATGGGAAGGTATTATAGTGAATGGGTAAAGTCCTTGCTGTGCAAGCAGTATTCCCAGCACCCACATAAAAGCTAGGCTGTGTGCCACATGTCTGTAACTACAATGCTGGGGCTCACTGGCCAGTCAGTCTAGCAGAAGAGATGAGCTCCAGGTTCAGTGAGAAACCCTGTCTCAAAACATAAATTGGAGAAGCAACTGAGAAAGACACATGACATCAACCTCTGTACATGCCTGCATACACAATAAGCATTCCAGTCTCATTATCAGACAATGATTGCCACCTCCAATAAGAGAGATTTCACTTAATCCTTGTAGAGCAGATCTGTTTTCCAGTCTAGTATTTGTGGCCTTTGCATCAGCTGTAATAGGGAGTTCTGGAAAAGAGACCAAAGCTTTGGCCTCAGCCTGGCCTCTGAGAGACTGGTCTAAGCACATGTTGTTCTCACCAACCTTCCTTGCTTCTATCTCTTATGTTCAGAGCTCAAGGTTATGATCATTAACTGAATAAATTGGAAAAAGGTGGCCCAATGAGGAAAGAATTGATTTTACTTTTCAAATATGCAGAATTTTAGGCTAGACCTTGATATACAGGATTTAGTTAAATCTGGAACCTTGGTGGGGACAAGTATGGCTTTTCAATGACTGAACTAGAACAGGTCTAAGGGTGGGGCAGCATGTACCCTGTAAAACAGCTACTGATAATACGATTTTCTCTCTGCAGCCTCACATGAGTCACCTTCCATGCTGCTGTGTGGGCTCCTGGCTCTGGACTTTGGCTCATTTACCATGCCTGAGCTAGTATGTACCAAACGCTGGCAGCAGGGCGTGGCAGAGAGCTTACCAGAGCTGAATGGTTGAGCGCGCCCAACCCTTCTTCATCCGTGCCATCTCTAGACTATTGTTATAAAAAGGCTTGCCGTGTCATGCTGGCTTTGAGTTGTGGCTCCTGGATGAGAGTTCTGCTGTCTTGTGTCCCACCCCATTAAAGTACTGCCTCCCCCCATGCTCAGTGTGCTGTTTGTTCATCCTCGGTTTGCAACACCTTTCCCCGGCACTTCCTGGGGTCTTGGGGAAGTCGGGTGGGATTGACATGCAGTGCTTTCCCTCACTAAGATAGGAGACCTGAGGGTGGGATGGGGCACACTTTTAATCCCAGAGGCCTGGGGAGTTCTGGGTCAACCAGGTATGCGTAGTGAAACTCCATCTAAGAAAAGATGAGCAAGGGGAAGTAGTGATGCCCTCCCGGATTACATTTTAACCCATCTTCTTTCTGCCTCTGCTTTCCCCGGCCTCAGAATGAGAATCACTAGTATTCTCCCTGCCGGGCGAACGCACTGTGAAGCCACAGGCACACAGCTTCAGTGTGTTACATCCCTGTCTGACTTTGGAGACCAGGCCGCCCCCTGTCGTTGGCTCCAACGGCCATGCTGTGGGGCGGGGCCTGGGCGGGGCTGGCCAGTCGCCCAACCTCTCCTGAGCTCCGTGGGCCCGCCCCTGGCGTGCGAAGGGTTATCCGGGACTGCGTCATAACGCCGCTCCTCTCGGGCCAAGCTGCCGATAGATCCGCTTTCACTTCGCTGCCTGAGGTGAGGGCGGGGAAGGGTGTTGGTGGTGGGTGGGGTGTCACCTGGCCTGGTGCCTGATGGGCTTCTGTTACAGACCATGGGCGCTCTCCTGAGTGGTGGCCAGGAAGGCCCAGAGCCCGCGCAGCCCCAGCCTCCAGCGCCAGAGGGTCCGCAGCAGCCTCAGCCTGAGCCCGGACCATGGGGACTACTGGATGATGTGCGCTTTCTAATCGCCTGCACATCCTGGTACTGACCAGGTTCCCCGGGGCCTCCGTGTCCTCTTGGGCCTGGCCTAGCTTTTGTCCCCCTCACCCCATGATTTCCTGTCTTCCTCACTCTGGGTAGAGATTCAAAAAAGCTCCTGGAAACTAGAGGTCCACAGGGCAACCTCAGGGGACTGACCAGAACCTCAGACTTGTTCCCATCCTTACCATCCCCTAAACCAGATCACTCCCGGACCCCTTTCCAGCTCTGTCCTGGGGCAGCCTACCTGAACCAGAACCACCAGGCCCAGATTCAGGCCTCCTGGCAGGACCCTTGATGCTGTTGAACTCTGGTTTCCCCCTCGCTAGAACTGAGCTGCTTCAGGTGTCCCAGGTCACGGCCCTGTGTGCCCTGTCTCCAGAGAAGCATGCAAACAGTGACCCTCCCATACTCCTGAGGGACCTGGGGGCAGGACATCTGATTGCTGGTTAGCAGATAGATGCATGAGACAACTGCAGAATACCCCCGTGCACCCTTTTCTCCCCCGAAGCTTCTTAAGGGCACACTTGGGCCCTGGTCTTTGTTCCCACACCCCAGGGAAAAGACACTGTATTTCTGTTTTATTTAGAAATGATTTAAAAAACATTATACAAAGGCTGATCAGTTTAAAATGTGACCGACACTGAAATGCTGTGATGTCACCCAGGCTGAGGGGAAGCTGAGCTCTGGGGGCCCGGTGCTTTGCCCCTCTGACTGCTCTGGCCTGGGGTGATGGACAAACAGATGACTGCCTGCAGAAGAATCCAAGATTGGAAGCCTCTAGGCTGAGCCCTCTGGGCCCGGCCCTGCATCCCTTACATCTGCAGCCTGGGCTGCCTGCCTCCATCTCCTGCTTGTTCTCAACTGGTCTTGGAGTACCAGGAGCCAACAGGGAGCCTGCGGGGCCTAGAGCTTTCAAGAAGTGAGAGCACCAACCTGAGGAGACGGACCAGGAAGTTGGGGGAGGGAGGCCCAGAAGAGAAGAATAGAAAAGACATTTATCTCAGACCCTAGAAGGACCCACAGTTGGGAACACAGACCCAGCCAGGGCCACTGGATGGCAGGGGCAGATAAGACCTCCCTGTGCTTCTAAGGGCAAGATGAGTGTTACCCTCAGCCTCTCAGGGCCTTCATGTGAGTGAACAGGTGTGAGCTAATAAAGTGCTTTGCAAAGTATAAAACACTGTACAAACCTATGAATCACTAAATCTCTGCAGTTGTTCCCCACCTGCCCCAGGGAGCCTGCCCTTTGCCGAAATGAGAAAAAACAGGATGAGGATGCTGGGACACAGTGGACCCATATAGATGCTTCTGGGACGATAGATTTTACTCCACAGCTCCCAGGGCGGCAGGAGTCCCTGTCTGTGCTACAGGGTAAGCTAACCCAAATCCAGAGGCCCCAGGGCAGGGCAAGGCCCATGCAGGCTCAGAGGGCAGGGTTGGTGTTGGCAACCCACTAGCACCCTGAAGGTTGCCTCTCACTGCTTTTGGACTTTGGCAGAGAGCCAGTGACATCACTGAACCCATTGGTCTTGCCCAATGACAAGCATGGCTGCCAGACTGGAGCAAGTCAAGCCAAAACCTAGGAACTCCTGTCAGATGTGAAGAAGGGCCTCAGGTTAAAAAAAGAAGAAAGAAAGAAAGAAAAGTGGGGTGAGGTGGGGGTAGGGAGTGAGCTTGGGGCTGCTACCAGCTAGGAGTACCCTTTTCTAAGAGCAGTGCAGGAAGATGGGCCCAGTGAGCTGGGCTGCCAGGGTCAAGACCGGAGCACAAACACCCACTCCAGGCCAAGAAATTGAGTTGCCTCAGGGTCACTGGGGATGTGGATGGATTACTTAAAAGGCTGCCCTGGTCCTTTACTCTGAGGCTATGACAATGGTGGCTCTAGAGCCGTCTCTGCTCCACATAACTAGTCAGGCTAAACCCCCATGCCACAAAAGACAGGCTGGAGCAGGGTGGGGACAACATTCATGGAAGGGGAGTAGAGGATGGTCACAAACTTGGATCTGCCTCCAGAACCAGGGTCAGCTCCTGCCCCAGCTGTTGAGCCTCCTGAACAGGACCCTTGCTAGTATCAGGGTCCTAGAGTGGCTCTTTGCAGCACCGTGGTCCTTAATGCCTGGGGAAGGAGGGGCCATCACACTGGCCGCATCACCAAGACAGTCACCTCTAATTGACCTAAAGCCTCAAATAGCCTTTGCAAAATGGGACTTTAAACAGTAGTGACAGGACATTTAAATATTCACGACATGACAGCAGGGTCCTTGTGAGACCCAGCTGGGCCACAGCCTTGCCTGCAGCATGTGACCCTAAATCCTGGGTCTCAGGGGAGACCTGACAAGTGGATCAGGTTTCCTGAGGAATCTGCTATTGGCTAGCAGGGGAAACCCAGGCTTTTGCCCACTGTGTTGGCAGCAGGGGCACTGCAGCCATGGAGGATAGTGGGGTAGGGGTGAAGGGACATCTGACCAGCAGGTGTTGGCAGAGGGGACTGGGATTGGTGGCATCTCCGAAAGGGGGGAGGGTGAGAGCTAGTGCTGGCTTGCCTCAGAGGGCTGGGTCCCAGCCAGGCCTGGAGCTCCCGTACCTTGCAGACACCATAGGATGCAGTGACCTCAGGGGCACCTCCTGGCATGATCCTTGCCTCCTGACAGGGCCTGGCCTATTCCCTTGAGAGTGGTGTACCCAGGCCAGAAGGCTGGCAACTGGGTGCCAGCTACCCAACCTGGGGCACAGCCACCATCACTCCCTGCCCCACACTCAGCCTAGACCAATGCACCCACCACTTCAGCTACACACGAACCTGGCCTAGGGCCCTGCTGGCCCCGGTGGGCAGTGGCTAGAGCTGCCCCTCAGACCCTGGTGAGGAAGGGCCTGGCTGGCCAGACTGGGTAGACAGAGAGGGCTCTGGGCTGCTCATACCCACTCCTGGACTGGCCGCTTATAGTAGGTGACAGGCTGAGGACCCGCCTTGTTCTTGAACTGGAAGATAGTATAGAGCAGCACCAGGAGGCAGAGGGACAGGGTGCAGGGCACAACCACAGCCACGGCATTCACGGAGCCCGGCACATCATCGATGGTCACCATGATGTCCACATCATCCTGGGGCAGCCTCCGCTCCTTCCGCCGCTCTACCTCCTTCTGCTTGCAGCCCATCCAGTCACGCAGGATGTTGCGTGGGTAGCCTGGCTCCACACTCAGTTTCTGGTTGTCAAACTTCCAGTAGTCCCGGCCTTTGTAGAAGTAGGTGTAATCTGCAGAAATGGGAAGGACTCAGTACCACCATTCCCAGACGCGCCCCAGCACCTACTCTGGACTAATGTGGACCTGGGGTGATGTGCCTGCCAGTGTACAAGAGAGAAGCTCCAAGGGGCATGGTAGATGGAGGGAGTGGCCTGCTGGAACGGAGGTGGCTGGGTGAGTTGCAGTGCTCCACTGGCTGCACAGTAACTAACAGCAGAGACAGGTCTCCAGGACATGGAGAATCTCACTTGTTGGTTCAAAGGTGCTGGGAAACCACTAAGGGATTTTTGAATAGAGCTGGCAAGTGCTTTAATTTATACTGCCCAGTCTGGATGATTCTTAGTCTGGAAACAGGTCTGTTACACTGTGCCCCCAGGCTTCCTATAAGGGTCAGATCAAGCCCTCAGTTTAAGGCTTGCGCAGAGCAATCTCCTAGTGCCTCAGTCTAACTCTTGCCCCAAGCCAATGGGAATTGAGCAAAATTTCATGTTAGCAGCAGACACCATGGCTCCACAATTACAGATATTTTGGGGGGTGTGGGGAGGGCTTGACATATACCACTTTGTAACACAGATACAAGTTCTTAGGACTCTTCTAGTGGCTTTGATGGCTGGAAGCAAAGGAGGCAGGCAGCAGGCCAGGCAACTCCAATTACTCCCCAGGCAGCTCCCTGAAGGCTCCCAGCAACAGCCTTAGCAACCCAGCCAGTTGACAGACAGCAAAGCAGCTCACTCAGACTCTCCTCATTGGCTGACTCCCCAGGACTTTCATTGGTCAACGTCTTTGATGTCATCTGTCTCTGAGGCTCGCTTTGTTGTGACGTTATTTTCTGTCAGTGGACTGATAACTATGCAAGTCTCACTGCTTCTGTCCTGAGCCCCTCCCACACAAACTGGCTCTCGGTAATTACCATGCGTCGAATGACAGTTCTGTCATCTTACACAGACTGAAACACTAATGAGATGATGAGGACAGCTACAACTTTTACATGCATAGACCATGTGGTGGGTATTACGCAAATGCTCTCTGTAATTTACCCTATCAATCTTTTATCACACAGTCCACAGGTAAATGCTGTGACCATTCCCACTTCACGGATAGCTCGATGGCTTGCCCAAACTTAGGAGTGGTGGACAGGGTCTGTGAACCCAACCACCCTGTTCAAGAGTCAGTGTAACAGGCAGTCATGGGTGCTTGCATCTGGTAAAGCCTGAGCCTCCTTTGAGAAGTTTCTAATCTGGCAGGGAGACAGGCTGGTAACTGCCTGATGGTACATGGTGAGCAATTGCCAGCCTACCCATCAAACCCTATGAAAAAGCACCTTTGAACCACCCCTATCCATCACTGCAAGTTAATTTACTATGTGAACATGGTCCATTTAGGGCAGCTGTCTATTACCAAGTTACATTACTGAAATCTGGATACCCAGAAGCATACGTCTGGGCCCTGAGAACCACTAAAATTAACTCCCCATTCCCACCTCAGCTTGGCCCTTACATCCTTCCTTGCTGATGAAGGCCCCTTGTGGAGCCTGCGGGATGCCCTTCCACACGGTGATGGGCTTGGGGTAGCCAGGGTCTGTGGCTCGCCGCTCCTCACTGTAGCGCCAGTACCGTTCACCTTTGAAAAAGTACGTTTTGCCCACAGGTTCCCACCGCAGAGCTGTGTCGATTCCTTCACGGGGCAGGCAGCTGCCCAACTCTCCCAAGCTATGGGGGTACCCAGGTTCCACTGTCACTTCTTTGAACACCCAGTACTTGTCACCTGTGGAAAGAGTCTAGAATCAGCCTTCAGGAGCCACCCAGTGCCAGGAGATGTTGTGGTCCACTTGCCTGTCTTCATAAAGTCTGAATGTGTGTTTTCTTAGCCCCTGGCCCAGCAGATTTGGGGCTCGAGAAGCCAATCATAGATTTTGGGCAATGTGCACCATGCTACACAGGCTCTCTGTCCCACTGTTTTGGTTTTGGTGTTCCTTTTTGAGACAAAGTTTTTTTTTTTTTTTTTTCTAAATCCCTGGCTAGCCTGGAATTAATTATGTAGCTCAGGCTGGCCTCAAACTTTCAGTGATCCTAGTGCCTCTGCCTCCCAAGTGCTGGGTGTAGCCACCACACTTTCCTACCTACTTGTCTTGACCCTCTTTCATTTCTGGTAATCACACCTGTGATATCACACGCTACTACTTCCTGTGGCCGGCCTCAGGTAGGGTATGTGTGTGTTGTGATGGAGCAGCACCTACTACTGCAACAACTCGGAACCTCGGCATAAGGCATTAGTGCCGGCGGAAGTCTCCATAGGCGAGCAGTCTCAGGATTGAGGAAGCTGCAGGTACTAGTTTTTTGACACATTGGCTAACTGTTCACAGACATTCCCACCTGGACCACAATAAATCAATTCTAAGTCTGACCCACATGGGGAAGGTTGCCAGTTTCCCATGGGTCCTAGTTCCTTAGTCATTGACATGGCTGGCTCATGTCAAACAATACACATCCACTCAGGACTTCAGCCACTCTGCACACTCTCTCAGAGTCTCACACTCCCCTATCTGCCTTATGTGCCCTAACTCTGAGGATATAGCCCCATACCCATTTGACCTAAGCCCCACCCCATCATATCCTGTGCTCTTCCGTGGTCCCTGGCTACTCCAAATTGGGTTTTCAGAGCTCCTCATCCTACCAGAATGGCTTCCTTTTCATCACCTTTCTTCCTCCCAGTGTCCCTTAGAAGTGCCGGTATCATTTCTGAGCCTCTTTCCTTCCTTCTCAGTACTCAGCCACTCATGAGGCCCCAAGTCTTCTCACAGCGTCCCATGTTCTTTAGCTGTGCTGTTCCTCTCTGGCTGGGGCCTCATGGGAATATTGTCCTCTGAATTACCCTCCCCATCTTACCGCATGCCACCTCTCCCATGTTTCTGTGCTACTCAGAAACCTGCAGTGAGTTT